TTGATGAAATTAGTTTTTTTTTCTTTACATTACATGCATTAATTTATTCTCTTTTTCTACCCTTCTTTGCTAAATAAATCATCACTAAGTCAATATTGACTTTTAATAGAAGAATCCTAAGATCAAATCCTAAAAAAATATATATGATAAATATAAGTGATAAAAATAAGATTTAATTCTAGAATTTTTTTTAAGCTAGTCGACATCTTAAAAAATTATTAGATGTAATTTCTAATCCTCAATTATTGAGAAGTGCATTTGGGACATTATAACATCGCTTGCAAAGATTTAAGTGCTAATCCTATTTTTGTTTGCATAGAAAAACATTATATATATTTTTATATATTCATGACATGCATTCTCCTTAAACAAAAAACACACCTATGTAGATAGTATATATTCACCACATGTGTGCTATATGTTTCTTTTAGAGTCAATAAGATATGGAGTTAGGTGACAACCAAATGATCTGTTGCTGATAGAGAAGTCATCACATATTCCATGCCGCAATACGTCCGCCTCCTCTCTCTTCCTGCCGACGACTGCATCGCCACCACAACCTTCATCTCATCTTCTCATTTAATGTCGATTACTGATAGAAGTCACTTCTCAAGGTTGACATTTCCGCGCAGCAATGTGCCTGCTTCCTCTCGACGACTGCATCGCCACCACAACCTTCGTCTCATCTTGACGTGCTGTATGTTTGCCTTCAATTTAATGTCGGTATCAACTCCCATCACCATATCTTCCCTGTCGGTCCAACTCAAATCGAACTTGCTGGTCTGCAACTCCCCATATCCACGGCATTGACCAGTTGCTCATTTTCTTCTTTACCAGATATCTCGCACTGACGATTCCACGTCAAGAACAGTCCACACACAGGTTGAGGTTTCCGTATCCTGAAACGGCATCGAAACGGAAGAAAACATCACTTGCCCACGAAGACAAGTCCTCCTTCCATCGTCAGGTCAAACCTGTGATGTGCTCATGAATCTGCTGCGATCAGCATAATATCTTCTCCATAATTGCTCTCAAGCACAACGTTATTCTTCGTCTTCCAAATCGTATGAAGCTGATAAATGCACGTCTAATCATCGTTTGGACTTGTCAAGCAATTGTACGTCCGATCACAGTCTCATGTCATGCTTTACGCTTCCAAGCCCAAAGGAGTGGGTTGTCAAGGTTGACCCGGAAGCTTTGGAGAAGCACAAGTCTTCATCAGTTTTCCATCATCAGAGAGACGATGACATGCAGAGACTAACTTGCCATAATGTATGGTCTGTGTTCTTCGATGATCGAACGGCTTCCATGTCGAAGAGTTCTCGTGGTTGCCGACTTGCTCGTGGAAAATAGTTTCATTAGTAGCGAGGAAGTTTCTGTGGTCTGTGTGATAGACCAGAAATGGAATAAGCCTGATATGAAAACAGTGTTTTATTATGTGTAACGCCTCAACATCACTTTGATGATGGATAGAGTATGATTGTTTCCGGCTTAAGCATCTTAGATGGATGGTTTAGATCTAATAAATTAACAAGTCAGATATACTATTTGTATCAAAGTAGGTGACATAGTAATAGACTTGAATAGGAGAACACCCACCATGCTTTTAGATCATATAGGTTTTTGATGAGGTTGTGTAATACCTTCGAATTTAATTTCGTATCAAAGGTAAGAAAAAAGACTTAAGTTGATTTAGTTATGTGTACTATTATTAATGTGAAATCAAATTATTTAAAATAATCATTAAAGTTTAATAAATTAATAAGGCATAATCATTTTCAAACATTTTTATGATTCATTATTATATTTCAAAGATGTGCACATCATATGTGACTTAAAAGGAAGAGATGAAATGGAATATATGTGATAAAAGAAATATCATTGGTCAATTAATATTCCTTGTGATATCTAGGCTACCATAATGAGATAGAAATTACTTGTTATCGATTTACGTGGACAAAAGTCTAAAGTAAATAATTATATATTATTTTTACTCTTATTAACTACATGAATAAAAAAATTAAGTGGATATTCTTGGAGGTGATCGAGGGTTATCTCCTCGTAGAATATTTTACAAAATATTATGTGTATTTACTATCATGTATAAAGGCTCATTATTAGTGTAGTTGCTAGGAGGATCACTTTTAATTACTAATCACCACACTTACTTTCCCTGGGTTACTAACTTAGGCATTAGAGGGGCTGAGTCAAGAAATCTCTCTTGACCTCGATCTTCATATATGTGGCATCTCGAGAACTCGATATTTCTATCTCGGAGGTACCTTAAACAACCGTGTACACATAAGTCAAAACCACATTAGGTAACTAAGATATCAACGTCATCTTTCCATAATATTTTTGGTATTAGAAGGAGAGCCTAATATCGCAGGAGCATTTGTTCATTGATTTTCTTAATGAATGCTCGAGTGTAAAGACTTTGCTCCCGACCTATAATACTTTCACTTGGGGAGGAACAATCATTGTTTTCACACATTGATGCATGTACCTTGATGCAGATATCGATGAGATACTAGTGCCTATTTAATGACCTAGGTCTCTCATCCCTAGGGACGGTCCTGAGCCACCTACTCACCTCCACTAAGGTATTCTTAAATCTCACTAATCAAGTGCAAATGCTAATATACATGATACAAGTCATCACTCTGCTTTTACCTTAGTTGGCCCAATACGTGATACCACTAACTCACCCGTAATCCTTAGCCCCACCGCCATTGGTACTCGATGAGAATCTCTGATCCAATATGATGTCGACATCCCAAGAGTATCCAAGGCCTATCGAACCATCAACCGAGATGGCACTTCGATCCTTGACCATTGAATTCTATTGACCGCACCATCCTTAGTTTATCCTACCTAAATCTAAGGCCCAGTCAACAGACTCAACAAAGGACTCCATGCGGATCCAACTATGGTAGATGGATCAATATTTAGAAGAGATATGACAAGAACTCCAACAATCAAAAGGGGAAGTAATGGTCGACCCCACCTCTCATCAAGAGTTATTCTCCCAAAAAATCTAAGAGAAATCGATTCTAATGAGCATCTATTTCTTGGCCTTGAAGATGTTTGATGGTAATGTTAATTCGATAGAGCACATTTTAGCTTTTTATGCTCATATGTTGCTAAATGACACATCGAATACCCTAATATATTATACCTTCTCGATCATGTAAATAGGCATAACACGAGAATGGTACGTTTGACGGAAGTCATTTTTCATCTATTCTTTCGCTTAACTAGCGGGGGAGTTCAAACTTTACTTCCTTAGGAACATACACTCTCAATCTTTAGTAGCAACACTCAAACTCAAGTAGTGGGAGGAAGAAACACTTGCAGACATTATCACTCGATTCACAAATAAAATTTAAGGGTTAGTAGATAGATGTTCATAATGTGGCTCAGGCCCTCTCGTCTTTTTTTATCATTGATAGAGAGACTACCCGTGAGTATACCTAAGATACTTCAAATAGTTAATTAATACATTGCTACTGAGGCAATAGACTTGGGCAAGTGTGAGGAGCCATATAAGAGCCCGAAGTAGGAGCAGCCATAATCAACCCTAACCTAGAGGTCATCTTGACGAAGAAGAAATGAACGGCTTGAGCCTGAGATCTAAGCTAACCCCCTTAAATATGACAAGAACTGAAATTTTCCTTGAGATAAAAAAGAATAGGCTCTTATAAGACCCTCATACAATGAAGACCCAATTGACAAAAAGAGACAAATCCAAGTATTATCGGTTCCATCAAAATTATAACTATGATACTGAAGATTGTTGTGACTTGAAAGAACAGATTAAAGAGCTCCTACATCGAGGACATTTTTTTACGGTTCATTCAAAAGTATTGAGAACCCTTACCCTAACCTCAAGGGTTAGTAGAGAGGTAGATTGATGTCATCATTGGTGAACCTGTCTCGGGGAAGAAACTTTCTCGGCCTGTAAAGCTTATACCCGAACTATCATTGAAAAGCGCCCAAGGATAAAAGGCAACCCGTAAATAAGTTTCAAATAGGAAGGGGCAGAGTACCTTGACTCAAACTATGAAAATGCCTTAGTAATCTTAGTGAGGATAATTAATACTTGGATGAATATGATCATGATCGACGTAGGTAGCTCTGCTGATATCATCTACTTTGATGCTTTTAAAAAACTAATACTACCAATTAACGACCTTCCCCAATGACTTCTTCGCTAATAGGGTTTGTCGACAACTCTACTTGCCTCTCGAGGCTGTGAACCTGTATGTCATATTCAAAGATGAATCTTATTTCAAAACAGTATTAACTAAATTTATGATAGTGGATATATAACCGGTGTATAACATGATCATAAGTTAACTCACACTGAATAGACTGAGGGTGGTGGTATCGACTTAACACATGACGATGAAGTTCTTGGCTTTATAGAGCTAAGAAGAAATCCAAAGGAGTTGATCGTGATCTCCCTACCAAAGAAAGATCTGAGACACCACTTATGAACCCTCGAGACTTGGGCAAGTCGACCCCACATCCTAAGCTGGTGGAATCGTTGATCAAAATATCCTTAGATAAAGCTTGATCCGATTGAATTGTTAAGATTAAGACGACCCTTCCCGAGGAGAGGCAAGTGCCGCATATCAATTTCTTTCGGAGAATGTCTTCGAGAGATATATCAAAAATCAACAGCACCACTTAAATATTTCTCCCAAAACATAATGCAAAAGCATCATAAATGTGCCGTTACCCACTTGGAAAATATCATAAGTTGGCCCCTAATGTTGTAAAAAAAAATGGATTTTACGAGGACAAGTTATGATTATTATAAATGGGATTTTCATTGACGGATGTTATTGTTATTATTAACACAAACAATTATTATTGGCAAAACGTACATTATCACTAGTATTTATTGTATAATATATTAATTTTTAGATTTAAATATTTAACAAATTTAAATAGATATACGATCTAGACCGTCGATTGCAATCTGGAGTGGAGCACAGCACCGCGAGACCCAAATCTCATCCGTGGGTGAAACCTAAACCTAATTCCGGCGTCTTCCTCCCCACGCCGATGTCTTCGCTTCCGCCTCTAACGAACTCGCCCGCCTCCACCCTCCTCCTCCCTGCCCGCGACCGCGAGACTCTCTCCTGCGATTGGAATAAGTACGCCAAGTACTGCCCTAATCGCGAGGTACGATCCCCGGTCGGGATCGACACGAATGCGCTGGTCGAGGCACGAGTTTGTATATGTCTGGCCACACGGGACCGACCGCAGAGCGATGCCTCGTGTTGTCTTCTTAATTTCCGTTTCTTGTGAGAGAGAAGCTGTGGCATGATGGTCCGTTGCTGACTTGTGAAGCTTCATAGAAGATAATAAAAGGGATGAAGAAGAGGCCATCACCAACTACATTAGGTATGTTACTTTCTGTCTTTACACTTGGGAAGAACAATAGGGCACAATTTTAGTGTGATATATTGTCTATTTTCCTATAAATTCAGATCATGTTCAGTTTTTTATTCTTAATTCCGTGGTGATGCTTATTTTAGAAGCTATGATTTTAGGGATTCGGTAAATTTTAGAGAAACTTGATCTCTAGACTCTACATGGTAGTCTGTCTTAATTAGAATCCCAAACATTCAAAAAAATATATGCTTGTAATGATCTTCAGGTGTGTGTGTTCCACCTGCTCTTTGCATTCACTTATCATTTTCCTATAACTCATTATGTTAAGCGATTTAAACATGTCGTCTTCTCCTTTTTGAAAAGAAATTTTTTCATCACCATTTCTTGCACTCCAATGTCCTAAACTATGTTGTTATTCAAGAAACTCGTTCATTCAATACCACGTCGTACTCATGTTGGCACATCTTAGGTAGCAAAGTGTCTCTGTCTCCATGCGTGCCAGGGGCCAGGACACGTGTTTGTGTATTTTGCCTGTATTTATGTTGTATGATTGCTGTCGGACACTAAATCTGGCACGTTGACTAATAGTCTACCCAAGGCTCTCAAAAATAAGCAAAGATGTCAAGTCTTCAAGTAAAGGTATCAGTTGTATCTTTTAGTGTCTAGCATCTTGGAAATTTTTTGCCAATATCCATTCTTCATTTTATGATTTTTCACAATTAAGAAAGATGTTTTTTTCCTTTTTGAATTAAATTAGAATATGAATAGCTTCTTGCAGAGCAGAGTTTTTTTTTTAATTATTTTTTGTTTGCAGCATCCATAGCCAATGGGAACATATGACAACTTGAATTTTTTTAAGACTGTCAAGTATTCTGCATATGTGAATATACAGTGATCTCTTCCCTGCACTAAGCTAATTACAGAGTTGAATCACAGATGGTCCTTTGTTGAGCTAAATGAGGAAAGATCCATTTTTGTGGTCTCTTGTCTTGCATATATACAATTTGCTGGCCCTTTATTGAGTTACATTAGGAAAGATCCATAGTCGTTGTCGTATACCCTGCCTTCATTTAACATTCCAAATTCTTGTGTTTCCTTAGTTAATAGCAAATCCGTGAAAGTACTGTATATGTATGACAATGTCGCTAGGAATGCTTTTTGTCATTTTGTAATGACCCATCTAAATCCTTTGGCATCTATGTTCTCTAATTGTTTTTTTCTTTTGCAGCAATTCGTGATACCATATGGGACTTTTAGTCAATTCTCTTCACTTTTTGGTTCAGCGTTTGCATTCGAAATACCATGTTAGTTATTCAAAACTTTGTCTATCTAATCCAGAATGGTATGAATCCTCAGTCAGCCACTGCTCCATTGATTTCATCTATAATTTCGATGTTGTTTTTAGGCGGCATTTTTAGGATGTAGAAGAGAGTGCTAAGAAATGAAAAAAGGGAAATGCAAAAGAGAATGCTGAAGAAGTGTATATCTTTTTGATCTTACGGTGCAATGTACTATTTTTGTTTTCATTGTGGCATGGATTTTGTGATTGTATGAACTTTAATATTAGACAAAACGATATAATAGACTTTGTGATTGTGATATTTTTAATATGGATGTGAAATTTTATGTTATTAAAAATTTTGTTTTGACGTAAAATGGAGAGATCGTAGAGAAAATTATTATCGACAGATTCATCATCTTTTCAGATTCGTCACCCTTTTCATTTAGTGATAGATTAGATTCATCATCCTTTTTATTTAGTTAAATTTGGAGACAAATTCAAGTATTAGCGATAGATTCATCACCCTTTTTATTTAGTTAAATTTATCGACAGATCTAAGTTGTCATTAAAATTTTTCATCAAGATATTTAGAAACAAAGTCGTCCATCACCCAATGTTATCACAAGTATTATTTCATCGATTTGTTTGAGAATCATACATGCATCACAAATCTGGAAGAAAGGATTCTGATATGAGAATACAAATGTTCTTATAGATGTGAGGGAGTTCAATTTTCTAAATTTGTCATGAAAACGATGGAATTAATGTCATTTGCCTGTTTACAGTAAGATGGCGCTATTACTCACCATCTTATCCTTTCCACAGACAGGGCAAAATCAACTTAGGTCTATTCTTAGGGCTTGGAATTGATAGAGAGCTGGCAAAGTCCAACGCCTATAGATATAGATAAAGACATCATGAAATCATGTTCTTATACTACCAAACAGATATTTTTGGTTTATTCTCGAGGATTTAATCTTGTCCATATGATTCACTCATCCACATGATGTATTATTATTATATATCTTTATTAATTCAAATCATAAGGACAGAAATTTTCCTCTCTATCAGAGATCTATTAGCGTAATCAATCGAAAAGTTTCTTCACCACACAAAAAGAAGTGGCCATCGAATCAAACCATAGCGTAATCAATCGAATCACAAATATGATATCTATTTGACTATGATATCATATTAAAATTTTATAAGATCTGACATATTAAGTTGAAGTTAATCATCCTATTTCGATCTCCATTGATGATTTAAGATGTTTTAGTGAATCATCCTCCTTTGAGTATACGGCAATTGCATGTTCAACTTCCGAATAAAATAAGAACATAAGATGCATGTGGAACAATATCTTTTCTTTATATATATATATATATATAATATAATATATAAAAAAAAGAAAGAAGAATAAATGTAATGACTTTGATATCATAAAGAGACAATCCATTGGGTCGGAAAAAAGTGGCAGAAGGAAGGACAGAAGAGTACCAAACGATTATTCGTAGTTGCTGTAGTTGCTGTAGTCATGCGGAAAGTGATGTTGGAAGAACGAGTCGCTAAGATAGTGAGAGAGAGAGAGAGAGAGAGGGAGAGTTCCTAAGCTTGTCTTGCTTTCCAGCATCTGAGCATCCATCACATCAGCTCTCGTTATCAGCTGGCGACGAATGCGTACATGTATCAGCGGAAACTAAGAGCTCGAGGCATTAAGCGCCTGAGAAGTCCTCGTTGTTCCGTCTCCTGCCTCTCGTTTTGTAGGCACTTCAACTTCGCTGCACAGTTTCCATGCACGAGGAACACAAGTCCGGCAGTTCGACGGTGACCAAGTTTTGTATCGTCATCCTGACTTCAGAACTCATCAGCAACAGTTGCTTTACTGTCGAGATTAATCTTTGTATGGCCGGCTTGTGCAGTCTGCACCAAATACTCGTCTACAAATGATTCGATAAGGTTCGAGTGCCTTGAGGAATTCTCCTTTTCTAATAAATCCAAGAAAACAAATCAGCCAAAAATATTCTTATGGTGAAGAAGAAAACAACTTTCTTATTCGTAACTCCTAAACTATTTATCGATAAGAATTTTAGGTATCTAAGTGAGTTTTAATTGCTGAAATCTTAAGCAATTAAAACAATAAGTATAATATTTTTTTGGTAGTACCAAAAAATACTATAATTGGGTAGGAAGTTCTAAGTATTAGGTAAAAAAAATAAATATTATTAAAAATTCTAAAAATAAGAGACACTTCCCCAAAAACAATGAGATGTTTTTCTAAGAATTCATCCAAAAAAAAATGATGGTGAAGTGGGTACCATTTAAAAATGATTCCAGAGACCAAATAGGGTTGATTAATATGCACAATTGCACAATGTAAATTAATTTCTCGCAAAAAAGAAAAAAAAACATAATATTCACAACTCACTTAGGTTTAGGTCATCTCAAGTTACAAGTAAAAATGGATTTAGATTGACATAATAAATGAGAATATTAATGGGAGGGGGCGTTAAATGTGAGAGAAGGGTAAACAGAGAGACCCAACTCACGCGAGATATATAGCAGCGTAAGGCGGAAAACTCGCACGTCCTGCGGAGGCCGAAACGTTTTGGCGCTCCTCGCCTCCTCTTTTCAACTTACTTCCTCCCCTCGAAGAAGGACACGTTTTCGCTTTCTCCTCCTCCTCCTCCTCCTCAACTGCTCCATCCCCGCTTCTCCTCCTGATCTCGGTTTCCGCTTCATCCCCGATCGAGTCTTCCTCCTCGGTTTCTTGGATCGAAGAGAGGATTGATTTTGGTGGGCTTTGAGAGATTCCGTGCTCGGACTGGGAGTCGGAGTGAGGCAGAGGAAGAGGTGGAGTGGGAGCGGCGGCGGGGCGAGGGTTGAAGGGGTTTCGGGGCGATGGATTTGGAGTCCCGATCTCCAGCCTCGGAGAGCCGGCCTTCGGTGAGCAGCGCTCTCCTCCTCCTGCCCCCCTTCCTCTCCTCATCTTTTTTTCTGTTATATTTCCCCCTTCTTGCGATTTCTTTTGGGAGTGCATGCGAGAATTCGGAATTTTGGTTAGGCGTGGCGTTTTCTTCTTCTCAATTGTTAGGATTGGTTAGGTCTGGAGACATGTTCCTCTTATCTATTTTGGTTCGAGTACTGAAACTCTGGTTGATGGAAATCGACACACCTATTTTTCTTTGATCTCTTGAATGTGGACGTCGAGTGTAGAACTTAACCACTTCAGAAAGTTCTTTTTTTCTTTTCCCTCTTTCATTTGTGATGTAGTTTTTGAGTACAAAATCAATTTGTTTTGCTCTCGAAATAAGTTTCCTTTTTGAAGGATGAAAATGAAATCAATATTTAGCTTTTCCATTTCGTTTTCTTATATCCTCTGTAAATTCTACCGTTCTCTTTTTCTAACACTATAATTCGAATCGTGGACTTAATGTTGCTGTGATTTTTCTGCCAGAGTAGAGGCATGAACCTTTAGTTCTTCTGTGATTTCGTTAATGTAACTTTGGTGTCTGAGCTCTTTATGTGTTTCATCATCTTCGGGACTATTCTTTTTGTGAGGTTTTATTGTTTTGGTCATTTTTTTCCTTTACAGTTTTCCTGCTCCTTAATGACCTTTTTGTCGCAAAAGTTTCTCCTTTTCAATGGCAACGTTTGATGAAAGTCATTCATTGGTTGCTGTTTACAGAAAGCATATAGGACCACCCTTTTGTTGGCCTACCAGAGCTTTGGTGTGGTGTATGGCGATTTGTGCATCTCACCCATTTATGTCTACAAGAGCACCTTTTCGGGAAAGCTGCGTCTTCACGAGGAAGATGTTGAGATCTTTGGAGTCCTCTCTCTGGTTTTCTGGACTCTCACTCTCATCGCTCTATTCAAGTACATCATCTTCGTTTTGGGAGCAGATGACAATGGGGAAGGTGCTTTTGTAGTTCCTAACTGCGTTTATTGTACTCCGTTTTTCCTTCACTTATATGGGAACAATTTCTACAGGTGGGACCTTTGCCTTATACTCACTAATGTGCCGGAACTCAAAGATGGGACTCTTGAGCACACCTCATGAGCACTTAACTGCTTACAAGCTGGAACCACACCGTGAGGAAACTAGGACTAGTTTGTCGATAAAGAAGTTTATTGAGAAGAGTCAGACTTCACGACTAGTGCTGCTGCTTTTTGTGCTATTAGGGACAAGCATGGTTATCGGTGATGGTGTTTTGACCCCTACTATGTCAGGTAAAAAATGCTTGGAAAATAATGTTTTTAAGAAATAAGTTGAAATCTGAAAATGATTGTTCTTTATGTAAGTTTCTAAATATAAATTAAATAGGAGTGTGAACTCCCAATATGCCTTTTGCAGAAAAATAGGTCTTAAGCTCTTAGAGTGGTAAAATAATCTAAAGAAACTGTTTAGACTTTCTTGTGTGGTTAAGAAGGCATAAATCAACATGTATTTAAGGTTCGAGTTGTGAATTCTGGTCTTTTTCTTGTGAAACAATTATATTTTTTTGAGGCTGTGAAGCAAATTGTTTAATGGTTTTTAGTTTTGTTTTCATTAGGAAAACTTGTTTGTTTGATAATCAGGTGAAATTGTAGTGGCTGATTGATTATTTGCTGAGTTACACAATTGTATAGAGTTGGTGGAACTTTTCTCTCCATTCTTCAACTGACTTTTTCTCCTTTTTCTACTTTTCTAGTTGTCTCGGCAGTTTCTGGACTCAGAATTAAGGCTCCTGAGTTGCATGAAAGTAAGCATCTCTCTTTCTCCCTCTCACATGTGCATATACGCAAATCACTTGACAAACGACAAGCTATCTTCTTTTTAAGCTAAGGTTTATTTTTCTTTTTTTGCTAATTTGTTGAAGATGTGTACTTCTGAACGTGGGACTATGCCCACCACTCGTTTAATAGCCTATTCAAGCATATAAATCTATAAAGTCATATAGTACATATTGATATTTAATTACATCGCTATCTGCCAAGAGTTATATGTAATTGGATTATTCTTATCCATGCAGATTACACTGTTTTGATTTCCTGTATCATCTTAGTGGGCCTTTTTGGTCTCCAACACTATGGAACTCATCGTGTGGGCTTCCTGTTTGCTCCAATCTTGATATCTTGGCTTGTCTGCATAAGTAGTATTGGAATCTACAACACAATTATTTGGAACCCTGGTGTTGTTCGTGCCCTGTCGCCACATTATATATATTACTTTTTTAAGAAAGCTGGAAAAGATGGATGGAGTTCACTTGGAGGTCTTGTCCTTTGCATTACAGGTTTGTTACTTTGGGAATATCATCTGTATTTATCATCAATTATT